GGCAGAGTCTGTGTCCGTCTTGATCACCCGACGGTGCCCGGCACGCGGTCGGGGCTCACTCTGCGTGAGCTGTGGAAATCGATGATACCCATTCGGTTGATGGGGAAACTGAGGCTCGCACAGGGTCAGGAATTCCCCTGAAATCATCCCGATGGAAATCAGTCCTGGGCCTAGCTCCTTCTGCTCTGACGCCACCCTGGGGACCAGCTACCCCTGGGTGCGGGCGTCCCTGCCTCTCCCGCGCAGAGGGAGGGGACGGGGCGAGCCGCCTTCGTGTCCAAGAACAAACGCTCCGCTCCAGGGCAGAATCCGGAAAAGAATGGCCCGAACGTCTGTTCGGAGGCAGCCGCCCGGCCGCCGTCCCGCCGGCACTCAGAGAAGCAAATGCGTCCTCCGTGCCGGCCAAATCGTTTCCTCTTGACCGCGGGCCAGCCATTTATTGGCCGCGGCTCCCCCCGGAGACCGGCGGGGGCAACAGTGATAACAGGGCTCGTCCGCCCAGAGCGCGGGGCGCCGCGGCCTCCCTCCCCGGCCTCCTCCTTCCGACAGCTGCGGGGCAAGGTCGGCTGAGCCGGGCTTGTTTGCAAAGGTGACTCATTTCTTTGATTCTAATCAAGTCTGACGCTACGTGCCGAGCTCCCCGGGGGGCCCGGGGAGGAAGGCTCGGCTCTGGCCCGCCCGTGCCCTGGGGCCTGGGGGCAGCGGGAGACCTGGGGACAGAGGTGACCCCAAGAGTAAGGCGTTACCGGGGGCAGAGGCTCCGCTTCCCTGTCACAGAGCAGAGACAAGCCGGCACGAAATATCAGTCTCTGGCCCCCAGCCGCTTCCCACGGGGACCTCGAAAAGGACATCTCAGCGGCTCCTGGTGACGCTGGTGACTCAGCGTTGCAGACGGGCGGGCGTCGGGGGTCCAGGCTGAGAACGGACCCCCAGAGTGACCCCAGTGCGGGAGACGCACACACACGCGGCACAGTGTGACCGGGGACCGCACTTGGGCTCCCAGGCCCGGCCCGGGCTTCTGGCCGGCGGCCGGCGGGGACACACACCAAAGATCAGCGGGACGGGGTCTGGTGTCGGACGTCGAGGCTGGGATCTTCGCTACTCCCAGCTGTGCAGGGGACCTTGGGCAAGTCCCAGCAGGTCTCTGGGCCTCAGTGCGCGGAGGCCCGGCCTTCTCCTGGCTTCTTAACACTCAAGCCGGGCTTGCGGGGTGCCAGGACCACGCTGTCTGCGGGGTTTGCAGAGCCGAGGTGACCGCCCCGAGGTCCTGCCGCTGGGACACGCGGGAGCTGGACTGGGCTGTGCGTCCTCCCGCAAGGGAAGGGAAACGTCACCCAGAAGAGGAGTCTGTGGCCCCAGAGGACCTAGTTATCTGTCTGCAGGGCAGCTCCTGAGAGCCTGCCCGGCAACATCTGCGGCGGGACGGGCAGGCCGGGAGCGGAAGGGAAGAACGGCCAGGGCTGGGCTCCGGCTCCAGGGCGTCCAGACCGGCCTTTGGGGATATCCTCAGTCCTGCGGCCCAGCACCGCCAGGGTCACCTCCCGACGAGCCTCTCTTGCTGCAGGTCGGTGGCCGTCTCCAGGGGCATTCGCGGAACTTGCGCCCCAAGGGGAGCCCAGATCTGCTGAGCCCTCTGCAGCCCTGTATACAGTCGGTGCTCAATATACATCCAGATACACATCTCTTTCCTACCGGTGCGTTCCCTAAGGACTGCCCGGAAAACACAGCTTCAACCACGTCACTCCCCTTCTCTAAACCTTCCACGGTTTCTCCTCCCAGAGAGCGACGCTCCAACTCACCACCGACCATCCGAGGCTTCAGCCTGTCTCCGTGACCCCACCTCCCGTCACCGGCTCGTGCGTCCCGTGGTCTGGCCAGACCAACCACTCGCTGCTCCCAAACTCTCACCGGCTTTCAGAGCGCCGTGCGTCTGCATGGGCTGTTCCTTCTGCTCGGAATGTCTTCTCTCTCTCCTTTTCTGCCTAGCGAGCTCCTACTCATCCCTCAAAGCCCGGCGCATATGGTCCCTCCACTTGCAGCCAGGCCAGAGAGGGGTAGTGACTTGCTGCTCTGGGCTGCACAGCCAGGCCAAGGAAGAGTCGGCACTCGGTGGGCCGAGACAGTCTCTGGTGTCCAGGAGAGTGAGGACAAGGGGGGTGCCCTGGGGGAGAGAGAGTCCTCGGGGAGGTTCTGGATATACGTTGAAGGGGGGAGCCTTCTCTTGGACCTGTGCATTGGATTTGGGGTAGAAAGAGGAGTTTTGGATGATGCCTGGACATTTTCCCCGCTCCAAAAGCCTCCGCAGAGATGAGATGAAACAATAGGGTCAAATCCCAGCTCTGTGCGCACAGGGTCTGGCTCCTTCCTTCCCAGTGTTTCGTGCTGACGAGAGGGAAGGTTCCTGAAGGCAGGAGGCCAGGTCTGTCCCCGCCGCGGTGCCCGGCCCCGTCCTCCGGCCTCAGCCTCCCTTCCCGGCCGGTCTCCCACAGACCCCACTGCTGCCCGGGGCTCTGGAACGAGGAAAAGTTATTTTTTTAATACTCAGGTATTAAAAGCCCACGAAGCCCAAAGGGAGGGCTGGAGCCCACGCGGGCGGCCGGGCCGCGGACGGAGCAAATGCAGAGCTTGGGGCCGGGAACTCTGCAAAGATCAACACCGTCTCGGTGCCTTCCGGGCCAGGAAAGGGAGCTGGGGTGCACGGAACAGAGATTCGGGGAGACAAGGACCCCGGGATGCCCTGGAGGGCCCGGCCGGGGCTGGGCAGGGGTGGCTGAGTGAGGACCTCGCGCTGCTCCCGGGAGCCCCCCCAGGACCCCCCCGGGCCCCGGACAACAGGGAGACCAGCAGGGCCGCAAAGAGGACAGCCCTTCGCGAGAGGGGACGTCACGGGCATTGGAGGAAGGGCAGGTCTCTAAGGTCACGACGCTGAAAAGGCTCCGGATGTCTCCGGGGAGCAGTTTTCCGCCCCACGAGGACGCTGCACCAACAACCCTAACCCCCCTCGTGTACCGTGCGGTTTGGGGGCCGCCCCGCGACCCCGGCAGGGCAGGGCAGGCCCAGTGCAGGCGAGGACACGGAGCGGACACGCCCGCCCCAGCCGGCAGCGGCAGAACGTGGGCTCGAGCCCGGGCAGCCCGGTCCCCGGTGGAGGAGGCCGGGCGGTCCCAGCGGGACCTGGCCGGGAGCCAGCGCTCTGGGCGGGGACAGGCCCGGCGGCCAGGCCGTGCCGAGAACCGCAGAGCAAGGGCAGGGCTGTGTCTCGGGCCCCATGTGGAGAAGAATGAAGTTCCAGGGCGGGGAACAGGGGTGCTGGATGTGCTTTTCGTGCCTCTTTGTTCGCAAGTGGAAAATGCGTCCACGTGAGGAGGCCCGGTCCAAGCGGGGCCTGGGGACCTGCCCGCGAGCACGTGCCAAAGGCCCACGGGCCGGGACAGTGACACGCGCCGCCCACTCAGAGCGCCTCGCACCGAGGGAGGGCAGCGGACCCGCCTGGCCCGGGACTTCCCAGCCCTGACCGGGCCCAAAAGCAGGCAGCGCCCCCCTCTGGCCTGTTCCCTGCGCCGGCCTGTCGGGAGTCCAGACACCCCGAAAACAGCAGAGCCACAAACGAGAGAGAGGGATTATCCTCTCGTGGTGGCGGGAGACCACCTACTTCCTAAATAGCACCCCCCGCTCCGGCCACCTCCACGCCAGGCCTCCTCTCGGCTATTTCGGGGTCCAGCGGGCTGTCCCCGAGGGCTAAGCCCCAACTTCGATAGCTCACGAAGAACAGAAAAACATGCAGAGATGCCCCCAGTTCTCCCTTCCTCTCGTTAGGGACAGAGTTCATCTCTCCTCCCTCTCGAATTCTGGGTTCCTCTTGGGTGCAGGCACTTGGAAAGTGCTTGGGCCCCAGAGCTTGGTCGTTTCTCGCTCCCGGAGCGCCGAGCCACCGGTGACAAGCCTGCCGGGCGATGAGACCGCATGGACCGGCTGCCCCTGACGCCCCAGCCGACCGCCAGCCAAACCCCGCGGATGTACAGCTGATGACAGGTGCGCCAAGGAGCCCGAGAGCAGAAGAACCGCCCAGCCCAGCTTGGCCCAAACCGCCCACACGCAGCAGAAACAAGAGTCAAATAAAAGGTCGTCGTTTGAAGCCACCAAGAACGGGGACGGCTGTTACACGGCGAAAGCTAACTGATGTGTATTTTTCACTCTATCTACTCACCTTGCACTTGAGTAACTACTTCGGCTTACCATACGCATTTTTCTCCGTGCAATAACAGAGAATATAATTTTTCTAGAATACATTACGAAAGCCGTATCATCTGCAGACAGCAGTAACGACGGGTCCCCGCCTTTGGGAAGCAATCTTCGCCGGGATCCCACAGGGGCAGGAACGATTCGTTCCCCTCATTTGACAGCTAAAGAAACTGAGGCTCAGAAGGGGACTTGCAGAGGGTCAGAGGGCCAGCGAAAGGCAGAACTGGGGGTCGGTTCCGGCCCGGTCTGCGCGCAAAGGCGTAGCCTGAGCTGCGGCCCTGCACCCTCCGTCCCTCCCCTGGAAGACGAGTGGCTGCCTCGCCCCGGGGAGAAGATGAGGGAGGGAGCGGGCGGCCCTCTCTGCCCACCCACGCCCTCCGCCTGCCCGCACCAGCCCGGCCTTACTCCCAGAACTCGATGACGGGGGAGGTGGAGTTGCTGGTGCTGATGGCGACCCACGCGCTCTTGTTCTTGCTCAGCGTGTCCTCC